TATGTGCAAAGACCCAAGTTCCATCTCTAGCATTACCTGGTTCTTCCCACAGAAATTCTTTGTAGCACAGCCCTAGAGGGGCCCTAGCACCACCGGATCACCTCCAAGCAAGCTACACATAAACCTTTGTTTCTTGAGTGACTATCCTTCCAACAGCGAGCCCAAAATTGTCTTTGGTAATAAGCTCTGCACATGCTCCGCATATAAGGTTTGGATGATCAGCATAAATATCAGGCAGATAAATATCCTGTTGGTGCTGGTTCTAGAACATGGTTTCTTTCAGGGAATTCTGAAACATGAACAGCTCAGTAGACTAGTTATTCTACAATCACAGGGGTAGACTATAAGACAAATCGAAGGCTTAATGCTAAGTGGCAACTGCACTGGTTAACAGGAGGTCAGTTATATCTTTTCTCTAGGAACTCTGCATTGATGTCTGCTGATACAGTCAAAAGAATCTTTACTAAAACACATTCTGGCACCTACTGCTAAAATCTTTGGTCACCCAGTACCATTTTTCTATAGTCACCAAAGACAGACATATTAATATTTTTATGAGGAGGGTGCTATTATTATTCCCATTTTATGGTATATTAATATTTATGTATTACAAGTAACTAGATTAAGGCAGCAGATATGCCAGGAATACAAAGAAGTAATGAAGGGAAGGACCCAGGTTGGTGAGAAAAAGAAGGCTAGTAAATCCTTGTTGGAAAGAAAATTGTCAAGATAGGAAGTCAGGGAGATATTTTTAAGGTGGCAAATTGACAGTAAACAAGTGAAAGTTGGGGAAAAATCAGGTCAGAGAGAGGGGAATTTTGGAAGTAGATTTTAAGCTACTGAGAAGTTACACTTATTGCCATGGGAGTGGGTATCTCAATGAAGTGGAAGTAAAAGTCAATGGAGGATTAAATTAAAAAGCATAAAATATTACTTGGCTCATGTAGATCCTTCAGAAATATTAATAACATGAAAAAATAAGGAACTTCAAGGCTATTTACAGAGTAGGCCATTTTCATCATACTCATATACATGAAAATATTATTCTATCTAGTGGGGGAAATAATTCCACAGCTTTATGATGGCTATTATAAGCTTTCCTCAGAGCATGGCCACTGAACAGTGTTTCAGAATTGCCTGAGACACTTACTGTAAGGTAAAGCATTTTCAAGTAGGCAGAAGTCATTACTATATGCATCCAGCAGAAACTCCAGTTTATCTAGCACAACATTCTGAATTACCTCATTCTATCAAGATCTCTGAGCCTTTCATTGTGTTCAAGCTATTTGTAATCCTTTATAGATCATTGATACCAATATAAATACCAATATAAATATTTCCTGCTATAGACATTTAAATTAATAAAAGCAAGCATTAGTATAATTTTCCTCTTACCTTCCATAAAGAAGTAAGTTTTTAGTATATAGAGAAAATCCATTTCAGTGCTCCTTTCTGTGTACACATGGATCTTCGAAACCTTTTTAACTCATTGGATTGGAGAGATAGTTCAAAAGTACAAATATATACTTTGCATGAAGGAGGCCTAGGTTCAATCCTCAGCACTTGCTTGATGTCCCAAGCACTGCTAGGAGCAACCAGGAGCACTGAACCAAGAATAAACCGAGCACCATTGAATGTGATACCACCACCCCACAAAAAAACACAAATCTGGTGGGAAATGGGCACTGGTGGAGGTATGGGTATTTGATCACTGTATAATTGAAACCCAAGCACAAAAATTTGTAAGTCTACAACTGTACCTCATGATGTCTCACTAACAAAAATTAAAAAAAAAATAAATCTTTGACAATATTTCTAATCCATGCTTCTTCCACTCTTAAGTTATCTTTAACATTCCTACTGTTGCATAATAATCAGCTTGGAAAATGACACTGATCCCCTTACACCTTGGCTATTTAATCACGCTCAAGCCCTTACTTACTACATTCAAATTCTTCAGCTACCTATAAAATGTTTTGTCTTGCTCTAGACCCTGCTCAGGTGCCACTCTGACTCTTCAGCATCTCCTGATCCCTGAAACATGAGGCCTAGAACATCCCTGCAGTATATTTTCACCATATCCTCCCATGGCGTTTGGGCTTTTTGGAGCTTTCTAGGCAGTGCTCAGGAAGTCTGCAGCTTCATCAATGATTCTCAATTGGAGGGGCAAATGTTCCACCATAAGGATCCAAGGACACTATTTGAGCACTGTGGTGCCAGCCATTACCCAGACCACCCTGACAGAGCTAGGGGTCTCTAGAGTGACACCCAGTGGTGCTAGGGAAGAGGGGGAACGACGCAGAGATGGGAATTGAACCTACACGCTTAGCATGAACCCTAAACACTGTACTGTCTTCCAGTCTCTGCAAGAGTATTTTGTTTGTACCTTCTGAAGCAATTGTTATCCACTAATAATAGTTAATATTAATAATATACTATTCATTAGGAACTTGGTATATTCCAGGCCCCAGGATGTGGCTCAAAGGAAGAATACTTACCTGGTCATGGAAAAGAGCATGAGTTCAACAATTCCTAGCACTGACTTTGTGATCCCCATCAATATAATAGATGTGAGAACTTCAGATATGGCCCTAGAAATCATGACATCAACAATAAAGGGAAGGAAGAGATGAAGTTTTTTCATATGTCACTTTCCATCATCTTCATCATAACTCTACAATCATCTCATTTTATAAATAGCTGAAGACTTTCCTTCATCCTAATCATAACTCTGGAAGTGTCATCTCATTTTATGACTGAAAAAACATAGGTATTATGAGCTTAAATAATCTGTTCCAAATCATCTACCATAGAGAAGCAAAGTGTATCCACAAAAGACACAGGTCTCCAAAACTAGTCTTAATTCTATACCCCACTGCACATATTTTATGTCTTTGTGTTTTGAACCACACCCAGAGATGCTGAGGGGTTATTCCTGGCTCAGTGCTCAGGGGCAACTCTTAGTAGTTTTGGGGTTATAATGGACCAGCGGTGTGCAAGGCAAATGCCTGACCTGCTGTATTCTCTCTCTGGTCCCTCACAGCACATTTTCAACTTTGATGAATGCCCTTAAGATCAGGCCACGAGCCAAGTGTTTTGGGGTCATCTTGGACACATGTTTGCAGTATCTCTGAAACAATGACCAACCAAAAATTAATCAGCTGGCTCCTCTCTCTGGAGGTACACCTGCACTCTGATGCTATGTGGACCTTTTGTAAACTGCTTCAGAAACAATACTACTCATTCTGAGAATGGTTGCACTCTGATTTGGAGGTAGGGTAGCGGGCCACATCTGGTGATTTTCAGGGCTTATTACCAGCTTTGTGCTCAAGGATCACTTCTGGCAGGATTTGGTGGGGGGAGTGAGGTTAAACGTGGTGTAGGGTACATATAGCCCCAGCCTTTGATTCTTAATTGTATATTCTAACACTAAGAACATACATACAATTTAGTCAGAGAAATAAAGAATATAAGAAGTCTCAGAAAGTCCAGAAGGTAGGGTGCTTACCTTGCACTTGGCTGACCTGGGTTTGATTCTGGGCACCACATATGATCCACTCAACCACCCAGGAGTGATCGCCGAAGGAAGAGTCAGGAATAAGCCCTGAACCCCTCCCAGTACACTCCCTCCCTTCCCCACCCCCATAAAAAGGCCACTTTTTTTACCCCCAGAAACGATGCTCAAGTTTGTCTGGAACTTTATTTTGTTTGAAGGTGACACCAGAAGGTGCTCAGGTGATGCTGAGCAAAAGCCAGCCCCTCCCACTGTGCTATCTCTCCGACCCTCTTGAAGTTTGCTCAGTGCCTCGCGCAGGTGGAAAGCGCCTTCAAAGGCTGCGGGAATTCGCGTGACTGCAACTGCACCCTGCAAGGAGGCACAGAGGTTGAGCAGTGGGGCAAGTGGCAGTGGCAGGGAGGAAAAGCTGACTAAGTGGGACTAGTATTTTCCTTCAGAAGCAATATTTCTCCTTAATCCATTACGATAAGGTAATTATTGTTAGTTAGACTTTCGAAGAAAGCAGCAATACGATAGGAGTGTAGCTTGCAAGGAAAGGGAATTAGAAAACCACTGACGGGCCAGACTTATTCAGGATACTTATTAGGGCAAGAAAGATTTTAGTGACCTAGGTTGACCCTGCACCCAAATTCTGTTTTTTTTCCTTTTTTTACAATTTTGTTTATTGAATCACCATGAGATGAATTACAAAACTTTCGGGTCTAAGTCTCGGTCATACAATCAAACACTGGCCCCTTCACCAGTGCCCGTTTTCCACCACCAAAAGGTCCAGTATACCCACCCCCCATTCCACACCCTCCACCTACTTGGGAGGAGATGATTTCCACATTTCTCTCTCTCTCTCTCTCTCTCTCTCTCTCTCTCTCTCTCTCTCTCTCTCTCCACTCTGATTACATTCAATGTTTTTTTTTTAATTTTTATTAGTGACAAACCAAGAGGTACAGTTGTAGACTTACAAATTTTTGTGCTTGGTTTTCGATTATACAATGATCAAATACCCATCCCTCCACCAGTGCCCATTTCCCACTACCACGGATCCCAGTATCCCTCCCACCCCCCATCCCTCCCATCCCACCCTGCCTCTGTGGCAAGGGCATTCCCTTTTGTTCTCTCTCTCCTTTTGGGTGTTGTGGTTCCTGCACCCAAATTCTGACACCCTGATGACTTTTCTTCCCTCAGTGTTTGCGGGCCTTTTTTGCAGCGTCCCTACACGAAACATTACGGTAAAGGCTTCCAGCACTGACAAGTGTAACTTGGGAGCCCACGGCCTGACTCTCAATACTCAGGACTGCGAGACCCGTGGCGGCCACCAGAGGTCGCACCTCTCCGCATCTCCTCGTTGCGGGAGTTCCGGAAACGGACGCCAAGGTGACTAATTTAGACCCACTGCCGCTGCCGTAGTTCCGAGGGGGTAAACAGGAAGTAGGTTTTGCGGGAGTGCGACTTTCTCGGGAGCGGGGCGCAGGGACGAGACTTGCAAGAGTTGCAATTAAAATTCATCCCTGCTCGCCGATTTTAAAGTCTCTGTGACCCAGTCTCCGTGTCTGTACCCCCCACCCTCCTCCCGCCCGGTTCCGCGCCAGCCGCGGAATTTTGTCCCCTGCCGGCTCCCGCCGCGTCCCCAGAGTCCTCATGGCCGAGTACTCTTATGTCAAGTCCACCAAACTCGTGCTCAAGGGAACCAAGGCCAAAAGGTAAGGTCGGAAGTTCGTGGGGGAGGGTCCCCGGTGCTTTGCTGATGCGCAGCCTCCGCGCCCCGCTGCCCCGCGGGTCTCTGGAAGCCGGTGGGCAGCTGTCCCAGGCGCCCCCTCCTGGGGCCTCGCCTGGACCTACCGGCCCCGGAGATGGACCCAGGACCCAGACCCGTGGCGCCGAAGCCGCAGGGTGGGGTCTTCCTGAGGTCCCCCCCACCCCCGACCCTCAGTTAGGTAGGTCGAGATAATCTGATCATGGTCCCATCAATGGCCAAGACCCAGAGACTATAAAAAAAACCAGCTCTCGGAATCCTGCGGCCGCATTTGTGGCCGAGCGACAATTTATTATGACATCTTATTATCTCATTCCTACTTTGGACAAACTTGCAGGCTATCGAATGTAGCCTGCCCACAGGGCAGAGTCTGGCAAACTCCCCGTGGCGTACCCAATATGCCAAATACCAGTAACAATGATGGGTCTCATTTTCCTAAAGAGCCTTGAATATAATCTCAGGGCTAGGATGAAAGAGACGTTACTGGGGCCTGCTCGAGGCAACCGACGAATAACAGGATGATTTGTGATTTGTGAATCTGATCGTGTAGGCTACAGCGGCCTCCTTTCTTCGGGGTCGTTAGTTCCTCGTCATCTCCTTCCCCTGCCCCCCCCCCCCCCACCACCACCACCTCAAAAGCTCTTGGTTCTTTCAAGCTGAGCGAGATGGGGCAGGATCACAGATACGGCATCTTCTAGGTGTTTGGCAGACCCGATCCTGGACGCCAGCAGTAACTTCAGTTCGTGATTTGTGGCCAGTTGGTTAACATCTTTGCACCTTTATTGTTCACTGTTAAGAAGAATGGATAATGTCTCCCCCCCCCCAGCCCCCCGCAAAAAAAAAAGGATCCTTTGAAGGTTAACTGAGATACAGTTTATTGACTTGTTGGTAGAACCAAAAGCAAGGAGGAGCTTGTAAGGGTAATTTAGGACTAGTGTTGTTGTTGTTGTTGTTGTTGTTGTTTTTGCTTACTGGGTCACACCCAGCGTTGCACAGGGGATACTCCTGGCTCATGCACTCAGGAATTACTCCTGGCGGTGCAAATGCCCTGCCCACCATGCTGTCGCTCCAGCCCCGAGACTAGTAGATTTTTAGGAAAAGCTAGATGCCCATTCATAGTTCCAAATCGTTGGGTTCTGTTTTGGGGTCACATCTGGGCAGTGTCAGGTGCTACTCCCTGGACTCCGCGCTGAGGGGGTGGGTTCCCCAACCTGAGCCCCCCACATACAAAGCATGTACTCAGCCGGTTGAGCTCTCTTCTCCCCAACCCTCCACCTCTCTTTTAACTGGCAGATCTGCTTGTGGTTGATGGGTCATATAAATGTCTAGTTTATACAATTGTCTAGTAAATATAATTTCTATATAAATGTCTAGTAAATACAATTTTATCCTAGTCTCAATGATCACGGGTATTGGGACTTTCAGGAACAGAACCCACTTGATGAATTCCGCCCAGGGCTCTGCCAGCAGGTGGAATTTACCCTGAATAAATCTGTAGCTTCAGTTATAATAATAAACGTGATACCACTGTCTGAATTTCCAGGAGGGAGTGAGGAGTTTGCTTCTGAAAGCTTACTTTACTATGAAGCGCTAGACTAGCGGGTCGGATAATTATATGAGGGTATCCTAATACAGAGACAGCACTTTCTGTGTGCCAGGAACTGTCTTAAACACCTTGCATTTTAGGTTTTTTTATTGTTTTCATTTACTTATTTTGATTTTTGGATGACACCTGGTGATGCACAGGGGTTACTCCTGGCTCTGCACTCAGGAATTACTCCTGGTGGTGCTCAGGGGACCATATGGAATGCTGGGAATTGAACCCGGGTTGGCCGCATGCAAGGCAAATGCCTTAACTGCTATGCTATCGCACCAGCCCCTGCATTTTAGTTTTGGGAGAGTGGAGGGGGTCTCCCATGTGGTTCCCAGGATGCCCTGTGCTACAGCAGGGAGATGACAGGTCTCCTGGTGCAGAAAACTTAGGGGAGCACCCTAACTGCTGGGCCATCTCTCAACCCCTACATATTACGTTGTTGTTTTGCTTTATTTTGTACTATGCTCAGAAGTTGCTCGTGGCAATGTTTAGGGATTAAACCCAAAGCTCCTGATGTAACTCAAGCACTCAGCCCTTTGAGCTAGCTCCCTTGATGCTCCCTTGGTAGGGGCGGAGAGGAGGGTACCTATTAGCTTTTTCAAAAAATCACCTCCAGGGGGTGGGAGCTGACTCAAAGGTTGGGACTGTGTTCCCCAAGCCCTGAACACAGATGAGTGTAGCCCCATAACTGGCCACAAAACAAACCAAGTGCTAATGAAACCATTATTATCATTATTATTTATCAGTACGATATCAGCAATCCATAAACTTACCTTTTAAAAATACACTTCACCGAATCTTTTAAAAATACTTATTATGGCGGCTGGAGCAATAACACAGCAGGGAGCACGATTGCCTTGCACGCAGCTGACCCGGGTTCAATCCCCAGCATCCCATATATAGGCCCCCAAGCACCGCCCGGAGTAATTCCTGAGTGCAAAGTCAGGAGGAACCCCTGAGCATCGCTCAGGGGTGTGACCCCTGAAAGAAAAAAAAATACTTATTACGGCCCCAAAACATAAGAAAATAATAATAATAATCGTCAAACATTTTCATGACCTCAGAAGGAAACGCTTTGCTGACTAAGATTTTATTCAACATACTCTCATCCCCCATTCCCTAAAAACCGCTAATCTGCTTTCTCTTCCTCTGAGTTTACCAGTTTTGAATATTTCATATAAATGAAGTTCAGCAACATGCAGCCTGTTGTAACATTCTCAGGGATCCTCCATCTCACGCCCGGATCAGCTCTCATTCCTTTAGCACGGAATAATATTTCATTACATGAAAAACGGCACATTTTGGCTAACGGATACATTTATCAGTTGGTGGAGATTTGACTATTTTACTTTTTGCCTATTAAAAGTAACTGCTATAAATATTTTTTATGCAAGTCCTGTGTGAACTTACTTCTTATTTTCTTATCTCTTAGGTAAGCGTTCCATGAATCTTTTGAGAAACCTTTCCAAAATGGTTGTACTATTTTACATGCTCACAACAAAATATGAAGTCACCTATTGACATTTGGGGGGGGGGGGGCAGTGGGAGGGGTCACACCCAGCAATGCACAGAGGTTACTTCTGAGTCTGCACTCAGGAACTACTCCTTGCAGTGCTCAGGGGACCATATGGGATGCTGGGAATTGAACCCAGGTCAGCCGCGTGGAAGGCAAACACCCTACCCGCTGTACTATCGCTCCAGCCCCAGCTAATGACTCTTAATCCTTGCAGAGCAATAGCGGACAGGCCCAGCATGTACAGCGACCCAGGTTCAAGTCTCAGTTCTGCACGGCCTCCCTAGTACCCCACTACTAGGGAGGTCAAACAAAATTCTTCGAGATTCTACCTTGTGATCTTTAACATGCAAATAATATATCTAAACTCATCTATAAAATTATTCTCTGTAGTAAGAAAAAGAAGAGCAAAGAAAAAAAGAGAAAAAGAGAAGAAGATGAAGAAACCCAACTTGATGTTGTTGGTAAGTCCATTTTTAATAGTTTATTCTGAAAAAAGTTAGCGTTTGTTGTGATTCCATTTAAAATATTTTCTGGGATTGCGTGAGTTAAGAGAGGTTCTTCATCTTTATTCTTTTTAACTTTTTTTTTTTACTATATTGTCTTTTAAAGATAGTTTATAAACTTCTAAAACATATAACCATTTTTATTGAAATACCAGAATTTGCAATACTGTTATTCATATTACCTACGCATGCATCATTCCAATATCATACCCATCACTTAAGGGCTCGTTTTCCTTCATCAGTGTCCCAAGGAGACCGGTCCCAGCTTTATAGACACAATTTTCAGTTCAGATAACCTTGATCACTTGTTGTTTCCTTTGTATGTTTAAAAGATACATTTTTTAAGCAATTTAAAAAAAATCTTTTTTCTGGGCCAAAGAGATAACTCCACAAGCTGAGTGCATGCTCTGCATGCAGGGGCCTGGACTTGATACTCAACACTACATGGCCCTTAAGACTTTGTCAAGTGTTACCCCCAAGTACTGAGCTCGGTGTTCCTGGGCCCCATCAAGTGTGTGCACCCCCCATTCCTATTTGCTTAAAGTACTCAGATGTTACGTTTATTGATTCCTAGCCCAGTTGTTAACACTGTGCCTTTTCCCACTGTTGTCCCCCAGTCCCCCAGATACTACTATGTGTGGCCCCACACATCGGATTTACTTTTTTTATTTTTATTTTTTAATGTAGGAGTACTGCTATTTATTCAGCCATTGATTAGCTGATTGAATGGGTCATGAACTCCACCTTACTTTTTTTTTTCATAATTTTATTTATTTTTCTTTTATTTATTTATTGACTCACTGTGGAAAAAGTTACTAAGCTTTCATGTTTAAGTCTCGGTCATACAATGATCAAACACCTCTCCCTTCACCAGTACTCATGTTTCACCACCATGAATCCCAGTATACCCCCCTCCCACCCCTCCCAATGCCTGTGAGGCAGATGATTTCCACTTACCTCTTCTCTACATTGATTACATTCATTATTTCAACAAAAGATACACCATTATTGTTTAGAATCCCCCCCCCCCCCCCCCGCGCCAAACAATCAGAATTGCCGAAAAGGCATTGTGAAATACTTTGTTTTCTATAGCTGGTTATGAGAATCATATAATCTCACATTGCCGCAATAGCAGCCTCGAGATTTTGGATTTCTGCAAAGAGCCAGATAATTACGAGATTGGTTTCTGTGCATCTGGTGTTATGGCTGTGCCGGAGAGCCGCTTGTGGGGGGCAACTTGTGACCTCGGTAGGGCATGAAGGACGTGAACCGGTACCGCCCCCCTTCCCATGAGACTGCAGTTGCCCCATGCCCCCAGCTCATACCTGGCTTTCCAATAACCTCTGAGGCAGCATCCACCTTGTTGCGGGGTGAGAAAAAGGCGGAAGGGAGGAACACCCTTTCCCTCCCAGGGAGGCATGGCACTGTAGTTTTACACGTGGTCCATTCACTCTTCTGCCACAAGCTGCTGGACTCTGGATTAAGTCCTTTTGCCTCTGGAGCCATGGCTGTGCCGGAGAGCCGCTTATTGGTGGCAACTTGTGATCTTGGTAGGGCGTGAAGGATGAGCTGATACCGTCCCCCTTCCCATGAGACTGCAGTTGCCCCATCACCACTGGCTCATACCTGGCTTTCCAAGAAGCTCTGAGGAGGCGGCTACCTTGTATGTGGTCCAGATGCATTTCTCCCAAAAGCCGCTGGGTTTCGAGATTTGTTTCTGAGTCTCTGGGATCATGGCTGTTAATTAGCTTTATCAGGAGCCAGAGAGGGCATTTGTAGGCAGTGACTCGGGGTCTTGCTGGGATGGGGAGGAAAGGTCCGGTTCCACCCACATCTGGTGAGGCCCCAAGTATCTCGTCACTGCAAGCCCAAACCTATTCCCACCTGGAGTGGCCCAGCACCAGTAACCTACTGCAGGAACAGGATGTATTTCTGCCAGAAGCCTTTGGGTTCCGAGATTCGTTTCTGAGTCTCTGGGATCATGGCCATTAAGCAGTTAGATCAGGAACCAGAGAGGTCATGCCTCCAATTATATGGCTGAGCCGGAGGTGGTTTGTGGGTGTGTCTCCCACATACCTAACTTTTGGCCATTTACTTTCTTGGTAAACTTTGCCCTAAGCATTTGGGGTCTGGCCAAAGGCACAGCAGCAATTTTGTGGTATCCGAAAGTCTGACGGTGCCATCAGGCTGCTGATGCACTCGCCTCATGGGTACAGATTGACCTGCTGGTGGCACCATACCACCAGATTTGTTTTTTTTTTTAAGAAATAAGAAAAGCTTGGCAAGTTGCATTTTGAAACTATTAGAAGTTTCATAGAATATGACTCTTTTGCATTCTAGAGCACTGATATTGTAGAAGACCTGTTTTAAAATATTTTAAAAGTAGTAAATCAAAAAATTTAAAGTAAGGTTAAAGTAAAGGGTAAATAAGGCTCCCTTATATAGCGAGCCAGTCATGGAATTGCTTACCTGAAAATGTAGGTGAACATTTAACCGTATTAGAAAACTTCCAAAGACCGGAATGGGAAACAGATTAGGGTACTTGGCTGTAGGGGAGCAGACACTGGTTAAAGATCTGTGTTGAAACACTGTCTGCATGAAACCCAATCATAACTAACTTTATATGGGCTGGAGCCATAGCACAGCGGTAAGGTATTTGCCTTGCATATGGCCGGCTCTGCCAACCTGGGTTCGATTCTTCCACCCCTCTCGGAGAGCCCAGCAAGCTACCAAGAGTATTTGGCTTGCACAGTAAAGCCTGGCAAGCTACACATGACATATTCGATATGCCAAACACAGTAACAAGAAGTCTCAACAATGGAGACATTACTGGGCCCGCTCGAGCAAATCGATGAACAACGGGAGGACAGTGCTACTATCACGATCATCCTGTTATTCATCGATTGCCTCGAGCAGGCACCAGTAATGTCTCCTTTGTCCTAGCTCTGAGATTTTAAAAAGTGCCATATTCAAGGCTCTTTCAGGGTTAGGAGAATGAGACCCATCATTGTTACTGGTATTTGGCGTATTGGGTACGCCACGGGAAGTTTGCCAGACTCTGCCATGTGGGCAGGTTACATTCAGTAGCCTGCCAGGTTGTCCAAAGTAAGAATGAGATAATGTCTTCCAGGAGCTGGGTTTTATTGTCGCCTGGTCTTGACCAATGATGGGATTACCTGGCACCGGGGGCAGTTGGTGGGTGTGACCCCTGCCTACTGGAAGATGGAGGATCTGGGTGGAGGATGCTCAGCCCCAATCCAAGCAGGCTTGGAGATCTCAGCCCCAGGACTCGCATGCCTGTGTTCCTCTGCCGGTTCCTTCATGCTACAATTAACTTTATAATTTCATAATGACAAAATAAAAAAAGAGAGAAAAAGAAACTGCAAAAAAACTTTTCAAAAGTTATTGTAGCATTGTAAAAGAGTATGAAACTTCTGTTATCTATGAGGATATTCTAGCCTGTGAGGGTTTTTTTTTTTTTGTCTTAATGATGCTTTTAAAAAGCGAAGGTTTTTTGTGTTCATAAAGTTCAATTTTTTTCTTACCTATGATTACTACCTTATTTCTCTAGTCTTTGCTTGAGGTCAGAGAGGTAGTACAGCAGATAAATCACTTGCCTTGCAGGTAGGTGGCCCAGGTTTGATCTTTGACATCACATAAGGGCCCATAAGCACTGCCAGGTGTGATCACTGAGTGCAAAGCCATGAGTAGGCCCTGAGCGCAGCTGAGTGTGGCCCAAACACCAAAAGGAAAAAAGAAATCTCCCAAAGTAACAGATACTCTGTATTTTCCCCTAGAAGCTTTGATCACTTGACCTCCTGTTAATCATCGATTTGCTTGAGCGGGCACCAGTAACGTCTTCATTTGTCCCTGTTGCGTGCTAGTGTAGCCCAATGGCATCTGTTCATTCTAGGAACACGAAGAGCCTCAAACCAATCGTTCAGGGTCTTGACGAAGGAGTCTGACCATCTGGTAGGTGGGCAGCCACGCAATCTTTTGACGTCCCATGGAATCCAGTCGGTAATGGCTATAGTCCAGTGGTCGTCTCCAAATCTCATTACGTGTCCAGCCCATCTGATTTTCGACACCTTGGCAAAAGAGACAGTATCCCTGATTCTTGATCGTTGGTGGAGGTCAGAACTCCGGATTCTTTTTCTCATTTGAGTGAAATGTGATACTCCAAGCATAGCTCTTTCGATTCCTCTTTGGGAGATCCGAAGAGCGTTCTCATCCTGTTTGCGTAGGGCCCAGGTCTCTGAGGCATATGTTAATGCAGGAAGAACAGTGGAATCAAAGAGATGTACCCAGAGCTGGAGGTTCTTCGTGCTCTTAGCTATTTCTTTGACGCTCTTGAAGGTGTTCCAAGCTGCTCTCTTCCTCCTGCACGACTCAGGTGCCAGGTCTTTCGTCATGTTGACTTCTCGACCTAGGTACACATAACTGTTGCATTCGGAGATGGTCTTTCCGTTGAGAGTGAATGGAGCGTCAGGAACGAGGCTGTTTCTCATAAACATTGTCTTTGTGAGATTCAACTGTAGTCCGACCTTTCCACACTCATGGTCGAAGTCGGCCAGCATTTGTGCCGCTTGGCTAATGGTTGGTGTTATTATAACGATGTCATCCGCAAAGCAGGGGTGGTGTATTTGCCGACCGTCTATCTTCACTCCCATTCCTTCCCATTCCAGTCGTCACATGACGTTCTCGAGGGTGGCACTAAAGAGTTTCGGTGAAATGATATCACCCTGCCAAACCCCTCTCTTGACATGGATGATCACTTCTTTGTAGAATGGTGAGATCCTGGTAGTGAATCCATAATACAGTTCACATAAAATCCTGATGTATTGAGTTTGAATGCCCTGATTGGCTAGGGCTTCGATGACTGCTTCCATCTCAACAAAATCAAAGGCCTTCTTTAAATCAATGAACATTAGACAGAGCGGCATCTTGTACTCCCGAGA